TAGAAACACCTCATTTTGCGACCAATGAGGGTCAAGCGTTATTGTTTATGTTTCAAAATTTTCATTGTCAAAATCTATCTTGGGAAAAAATAAAGTGTAGTTTGTAAGTTATACAGGGTGGACACGTCAATTATTGCTTTTTGGGGGACACATTTTATTGGTATTTTCACTAATGACATACTAAAAGGTTTGGACCAGCCCAATTTGCGCTTCATTGACTTTAGAATACGAGGGAAGATAAGGATGGAGCGACTAAGGCAATCTCGTCACGCCGTTTACTGTCAAAAGTGTCAATGCAATATTTATCATTTATTTATAATAGCAAAGATATAACATTCCAAAGCGTTTTCGCGACATTGAACGCTAAAATCTTCACTTTTGAGCAAAATATCTTAGAAACTCTCAATAAAAATGAGGATATGAACATCAACGTTGAACTAGGTAGTCTGTTTTTTTTTTAAAGATAAAAGTCAAAATGATATTATGTTGGCAATACAATGTAAAATTGTCAATGCTTTCAATCTTTTTATGAAGAAAAGGTTTGTGTTGCCAACATAGTTACTAAATTTTTGACTTTGGGAATTATCTTTAAAAAAAAAAAAACAGACTCTTCAGTCGTGGCCTGAGGTCGTGGCCATTGAAATTGGCACCTTTTTGAACGCACCGAAATCCGACTTTTTTAACAAGCCGTTAATGACAAAATTGCGTCAGCTTCCGCTTTATACAGAGCGCGTTCAAAAAGTTTGTGCTAATTCCAATGGCCACGACTGTACGTAAAGCCTGTTTTTTTTAAAGATAATTCGCCAAGTCAAAAAGTTCGTAACTATGTTGGCAGCACAAGCCTTTTCTGCATAAAAAAATTTGAAAGCATTGACAATTTTACATTGTATTGCCAACATAATGTCATTTTGACTTTTATCTTTAAAAAAAAACATTTTAATAAATCTTGACATTTTTTCAGGTTTTAATATCATTTATCAAATTTATACTTCATTTTTTTTTCAAAAATGTCCCATTGAGATTTTTGAGATTATACAGGGTGTCCACTTAGTGCGATATCGCACGATATCTCCTTACAGGGTGATGCAAGAAAAAAAATTTAAATTACAAAGTTGTTTGATACTCTAATCTGCATTAGTTAAAAATATTTTTGAATATACAGGGTGCTCCGTTTATGGGGTATGCGACAGAACTTTGTTATTTTAAATAGAACACCCTGTATGTGATTGCATATTTGGATTCTACGTAAAATTCTGAGCAGATTTCATGAAATATACCCTATACCTAAGTTCAACTGTTTTGGGAAAATTGACTTTTTGCAACTTTGACAGGCTGTAAAATCTAAACGGTTAATTTTAGACGAAAACCGATTTTATGTTCCTACCTTAGATTTTTATAAACTATCATTTGACACCAACTTCGAATTTAATCTATGATTAAAAATTCCAGTTAAATTTAATCTCCGGTTAAATTCAAAGATGGTGTCAAATGATAGTTTATGAAAATCTGAGATAGGAATGTAAAATCGGTTTTCGTCTAAAATTAACTGTTTAGGTTTTACAGCCTGTCAAAGTTGCAAAAAGTCAATTTTCAACTGTCAATATTTTCCAAAACAGTTGAACTTAGGTATAGGGTGTATTACATGAAATCTGCTCAGAATTTTACGCAGAATCCAAATATGCAATCACATACGGGGTGTTCCATTTGAAATAACAAAGTTCTGTCACATACCTCATAAACGGAGCACCCTGTATATTCAAAAATATTTTTAACTAATGCATATTAGAGTATCAAACAGCTTTGTAATTTAAATTTTTTTTCTTGCATCACCCTGTAAGAAGATATCGTCCGATATCGCACTAAGTGGACACCCGGTATAAAGCAAAATGAGATCTATCCAATCAATGAAAAAAAGATGGGGTTCCCATTTATCAATGATGTCATATCATTGAGAGGATTTTTTTTTTCCTATATCTCTGTGTAACTTTTCCCTACACGTCTTCTTATACCTATTTCCAAAAGTTCATCAAATTCCATCGAGCCGTTTTCTCAGAAAAATGCCAACACACACACACACACACATTCACACACACATTCATACACACACACAGACGGAAATGTGCCACCTTGCCAAAAAGGCTTAAAATGATCCAAAACGTTAAGATTTAATAAAATTTTGACAGGGTCAAAATCGGCCTATCACCATAGCTTCCTATCTAGGAAGCTAAAAACAGATTTTATTTGTACATGCTTTTATATATGAATCTATTCGATTCTTTATATTAAAATGACACTTCTTAGTGAATTTTTAGGTCTACTTTTGTTTTAGATTTGATTTCATTAAAAAGTAATACTTCCATTACAGTGATGCATCGTTTGCCCTTGGTAGCTTTATCTCTCTCTCAGATCTCTCTCTCTCTCTGTCTCTCTTATGTTGGCCGCAGGCGCGTCTGTGTTTGTTTATAGGCGACGGCCGGTCCAAACCTTTTAGTACGTCATTGATTTTCACCCCCTACCCGCAAAATATCAAATAAAGAGGGGGCTCGAGTGATATTAGCTTTGTTCCAACACAGCAGAAAACCGTACAATGTACCGTCACGATTCTGCGCAAAGCCAACATTTTGTGCGTAGAACCCGAAATTCGTATACAGAGTGGTTTCGAAACCGTTCATGGGACGATTTTTGACGTGTTGGAAGAAACCTACAATGTACTATTTCCTAACTTTGACGTGCCGCCATTTCGGCAGGGTAAATAGTAGCAACTTAAAATTTTAAATGACGTATCAGTCGACCCCCTTTCTATTTGAAATTTTGGGGGTACCTGTCACCTTCGCTAGGGGTTGTCAGGTAGGGGGTGCTAATACCAATAAAATGATCGAACGATTTTTGATTAATCACCTAACACCCGAGAAAACCTGGGTGGGAAGGTCTTCGTGCCCCACCCTGTATATATTTATTTAATTTATTAATATATTAATATCTTTTCTTGGGAAATAGTGGTTCGTAAAATGAAAAACTTTATTTCCATTTTGTGGCAAAATTTATGTTTTCAAACGTTTCGACCGTTAAGTCAGTGGCCAGTTAATGTTCCAAAACTGGAAATTTTTTTTGTAAACAGAGTTGATGATCTATCAAACGTTGTACTCATTTTACGAACCACTATTTCCTATGAAAAAAAATCTGAATATGGTTCGAGAACTTCATAGACAAGTAAAGATTGTTCCACGAGGGTTCATACTTTTGATATCGAACTCGTCATAACTTGAAAAAGAAAGGGTTGTCGTAGATTAATTCATATGACACATTCAATTTTTTTGACAAATTAAAATGAATGACTTCCGGTTTAAAGCCGACGAACGTTTTTGACGTCATTGATTTATTTCAGTAATTTCTATTTGTTCAAAAAGGAAGGCAAAAAGTATGAACCCTCGTGAAACAAAGTTTAGTTGCTTCTAGAAGTGTCTAGATGATTCTATAATCTGTCCATCGAACCTACGCAGTAATCAAATTACCTAACCTTCTACAGGTTCATTACTAATGGTCAGTTTCTAGCCCGATGTACACTGTAAAGTAAAGGGCGAGTACGCATTTTGGAATAAATGGGATAAATCGGAATATAATTTCAGTTAAGGCCGCGTTAATGGCCGCCATGTTTAAACTGTGATTGTTTGATTTTTCGAAACTTGTTTTAAGGTCTTTAAAAAAACGGCACATCAGAATTAACTCAAATTTGGCATAAACATTATTTGATCGATAATCTACAATTCCTTATTTTGGTTTTTCGATATTCAGCCTTTTTTTTAAATTCAAAAATCATGTTCGCAACCACCAAAACAATTAAATGTGTTGGTGGTTGCATATTTGCATGTTTATCAAGCTTGGATCCGTGAAAAACATATTTTATTGATAACCACGAAAAACTAACAAAAGCTAATTGTAGAGATGTGGATAATATATCAAATAATGTTTATACCAAAGGATTTTGGAAATTATTGCGGATTTTTTGAGATGACCTTAAAAGGAATTTTGAAGGTGGAAACAGTTCAAGCAATTTCAAGTAGATGGCGCCACGGCAAAAAACCTACATTGGGAGCATCATAATTGTATATTTGTCTTTCTCTGTCACTAGTGTTTCACCGACAAACAGATCTTGTTTTGGACGAAAAATAAAATATTGAACCGTATGTGTAGAGTGACGCGGTCGTCATTTTCAAAAACTAAATTTAAACATGGCGGCCATTAACGCGGCCTTAAGCATACGCTTAAGTTAGATTTTGGAATTTTTGTTTTCCATAATGATTGTATTGCATTTTTTTATTTGACTATTTCACTAGGGTGTAGGTTTTTCATTTTTCTAAGTATTAGTAGACTGCGAGAAAATTCTATAATGATTATACTTGATTTTTGATATTAAATTATGACAGCAGGTCATAATATAGCTACCGACGCCACTGGTAATTCCACATTATGAAATTTGCAGGTATTTGTGCAATGTAGCATTGAATGTAGCCGACCAGCTCCGCCATGTTGCCCATGTTCACTCCGTAGGTTCCTTGGACAGAGTATAGATTTTTACTCATCAGGTAGTGTTGCGAGATTGTGCAAAATTCCCCCGAGAGATTTATAACAACATGTTCAAGAGGATTTTCCTCGGGATTTTTTTTTTTTCAAACTCAAATTTTTAGCACATAATCGGCTTAAATTTGGATTGAATATGAATCTAGTCTAAATTTGAGGCTTCATATTACCAGGTACACTCGTGAATTATCATAATCCGGATTTGCCTGAGTCACCAAGAATTGAAATTTTGATTATGTTTAGTTCAGGTGCAAAGAACCAAACCAGTTGAATTTGTTATAGAAAAGTATAAAACATGAAAAATCACAATAAAAGCTGAAAATGATAATCATCACATCGCAGCGTTATTAAAAACAAGTATATCTACAGATATAGAATACTGTTCCAATTAAAATTACCTCATTGAGTTAATAAGTATTTACCTTTATCCGAAATTTTCTGAGCCAAATAAGCAAACTGCAACATAATGTAACTTTTCAGGCCGTTCAGAGCAAGGACATTGTATAAATTATAGAACACTTGTTGGGGCGATTGGTTGTAGCCTTTACAATAATAATCGTTCAATATTAGCTAAAAGAGAAGGTAGATAAGAGCTGTGTTTACGAAAGACATTAATTAAAATAGGTAATTTGTTCCAAAATACTTAAGGAATGTTCATATGTAATTTACGTAGGCTAGAATGGCAGTCTCTGTCTGAGTCCCTAAATTTGTGCACAGCTTTGAAACTCCTTTTGGAATTTCTGATAAAACTGAACATGTAGTTTTTATGTACAACTTATAATCACGTCTAAAATTCAAAGAATTTGCTCCCCATTGAAAATATGATTACTTTTTGTTTTGTCAGCTATAAATTATTGAACTTAACACCTAACAACAATCGATCTATTTGTAATCACGTCCAAAGAAATAAACCCCTGTGGTTGTAATTTTTCTCAAGAAATAAATACTGCCCTTAATAATTCCTAGACTAGACTACTTACATCGACGATCTCCATTACCATATTCTCACTGCCAAAAGTCAAATTGTAAACTTTATTCACCGTCACATTTGCCCCAGTATTACGATTTAAAATATCTTTTAAAATAAACTGGGTTTCAATGCCAGGGTCGAGTCGTTTTTTGTCATCTTTAAACCCTCCAATATTATTGACTCTCATTTGGTCTTCTTGATACTGTCTGAATTTTTCATACAAATTTTCTGTGTGCAGCACTTCAGAATAAAGAAATAGAAAAGCGTGGATGTTCCTTATAGGTTCGGTGCCTCTAAGTATATCTTTCGGCATCTGGAAAATAAAATCACACCCTGTATATGGTGCTTTGTTCAATAAAATTATGATTAACTCGAAATTTTAATCTTTGTTTAGAGGATGTTGACTCGAGTTGTTGTTAGCCTTGGACATTAAACATACAATTATTTATAAGTGTGACAAGAAGAATATTAATTTTAAACTATTTGCTATCAATTTAGGATATAAACAATACAGCATATTGTGCAGTAATAATAATTTATCTTAGCTGATAATACATAAAATATTGAATTTATTCAAATTATTTGCTTAAAACGTTTCATAAACTTTACCTGCTTCATATTTTGATCAAAATTGTATAAAGCTTTGACAATTTCAAACTCCACATCTTCCTGTTGCATATAAAATGTTTCCCACTGCACATAACTCCACAGTTTCTGTTCTAACTTGATAAAATCCATTCGTAATTTGTCCACCAATAAGTGATTGGCTTTTATTGAAATAACCAAGCATGTTAAGATAATTATTAGAAACCAACTTTTAATTATTAACGCCATCATTTGTACAATTAAGCATAACACTAACAGCTGTGTATTATATTCGAGTGAAATTTCGTAAACAACTGAGATGCTTATTGCTTCTTGCTAATGTGAACTTGGCAATTAATAGTTTAAAACACGGACATTGTCGAACAGATATGAGCGCCAAAGTAGTACCAGAGTCTATCAAATTGTATGTTGTTAGTTTCAAGTGATGAAATTTGAAGATGATGGATTCTGATGGGGATTCACAGCAGTTTGGGCAATTTGTAATTCATTTGAGTTGCGTTTGTTTTTATAAAATGCACATTTGATTTCAATATTTTGGATGTACCTAAAAACTATGTAATTAATTTTCAAGCACGTATTTGGGAAAAATTTCATCAAATTAAAATACAAAAAAACTAGATGTAACCTAATAGTAATAAATGGAAAAATGGTCACGAAAACGAAATTATTTATTTATTGAATATGAGTAGAAACTGCAATTTTTTGGTTTTACTTGCATGATAGTTGCTTGGTTCGTAATTATTGAAAAACCACGTTCTGAACGTGTACCAGTTGGTTGTTGACGTGATTTATATTGGTTGCGTTCCTAAGGACTCAACATGTTGAGTGATTAGTCAGCGGCTATGTTGAAAACAGATGAAAATCAGCTCTAGGCCAATCAAAACTTTTCTACCTTGTGCATTTCACTAGCTGGAACAAAGCCGCTTACTAATCACTCAACATGTTGAGTGCTTAGGAACGCGACCTATCATCAGCGTTCATGAAGTGAGTTCCAAACAAAATCTTTCAGATCAATGTTGAGCATTTTCAATTTCTTACTAGACATGTCCTCTAAGGCCGGCCTGACACAGCCGGAATGTCTTCTGAGTTGAGGAACAGAATTCAGGATCTGGAATCCGGCACATTGCCGCACACATACATATCTTAAAAATTCCGTGACCAGTATTCTCGTAGTTTGTGGCATCTTTTGAGTGGTGCTGATTAAGGCCGGTCTCACACATCCGCAATGTCATTCTGGATTCAGAAACTGAATTCAGGATTTGAATACCGGCACATTGCCGCACACATATCTTAAAAATTCCGTGACCAGTATTCTCGTAGTTTGCGGCATCCTTTGAGCGATTGTTGAAAGGGAAGAATCAGAATCTGAATTTCGGCTGTGTGAACTTATATATTTGAAACATATGGAAAAACATGCGTTATGATTATCTCAATTTTTCAGGTCCGGAATTCAAAACGCTCGTCAGAGGCACTCTGGCAGATCGACATGAAAAATTCATGATCTGAAAAAATCAGAAAGTGTGTGTTGTACAATAAAAATATATAGAATTCAGAAAGACATTCCGGCTGTGTGAGGCCGGCCTTAGAATCACTAATCATATTAACATAGTTTTTCTTTGTTTCAGGTGAGTCTTCAATACTCCAGTATAATAAGTTTTATCTGAAAAGGTAAGTTCCAAAAACGAGCATCTACTACTTTTTTAGAAGGCTTGGTTTTCGATAGAATCAAACACTTCGCTGATACTGTACAAACTACGATTACTGATTACTGCCTTATTTTTTATTTGCTATTAGCGCAGTTTATTTTTAGTGTAACAATCGCTCTTACTGATAATATTTACATGTAATAATTCCTTCCAAGAATTAATTATTTGGTAACACAATAATTCATAATACAGTATGTGGTCCAAGTTAATGGGTCTTTCCCACGATTTTTTTGATTGGCTTATCTGAAAGGGTAATCAAAATAAAGCCCAGAAATATTTTTGTCGGATTTTTTTGGTACCAGGAAAGGCCTTAAATTTTCATTTGAAATTCAAATTTTCCCCCGTTTCTCAAAAAATTGAAAAATCCTTCTGCTACTCGGTTCACCTAATTTTGCACAATTTTGCACACCTATTACCACATTTTGCACACTCCTATGGGGAAAGTTATGAGTCATTGAAAATTTGTACTTTCCCCCCCGTTTATCGAAAAATTGTAAAATTCCTATGCTACTCGCCTCGGCTAATTTTGCACACCTATTTTTAATTTATGTACAGGGGGTTTCCTTAAATTTTGACCCATACCTACAGCTTTAGCTATACGAGGTGGAAAAAAACTTTAAATATGAAAGTTGTAGGGTTTTATGTCTTTTATCTTTTGTGAATGTCAAAACGGCAAATGACAGGTGCAAACTGTCACAATGACAAACACTTGCATTTTCCAAATTGAACACCCTGTATATTTTTAGCTAGAATTATAGCTTTTTATATATGTTGATATTTGGTCAGTTGTTTTGGCGCTATTTGATTTTAAAATTGCATTGAGCCAGTGATGCCAACTCACTGATGTGAAAATATCCCTAGATCAGGCAAAAGTGGCTCATAAATTCCTCCCCGGTTTTCCCCTTCTTTCAATATGGGCCCACATTCAGGTAGCCTACGTGGCTAAACCTGGCTAAACATGATCGCAATTTAATTTGATGACTCCTGATTTTCAATGTTGCCATAAAAAATCGGAAAATTAAAAATATTGGCAGGAATAGGAATGACACTATTGACAATCAACTAATTTGTTTTCTTTGATAGAGGGATACCTAGAAGAGGCGCTTTTTTTTCATCGAAACATCCACCATTATGAGAGAGTCATTTCGATTTTCCATGAACCAGACAAAGATAGACTGCTCATCATTGCATCAACCGGCGTAAAAAAAATGCAATAAATCTAATTAAACAGTAAATACCAGTAATACCACAGCAAAAAGCTAACGAAAAAATATCCCTAGTTTGGCTTGTTTTCTGGAAAATCTCCCCTCAATCCCTAATCAGTGTTAATATCCCTGGATCTAGGGATATATTCCCTTGGTTGGCATCACTGCATTGAGCAAGCCTTATCATTGATATCAGAAACGAGGACAGATTAAATTGAGGTTAATGAAATGCATTTTTAAACTTGAATAGCGTGAAAACAGCTGCACCAAATATCAACATAATGATATATATGAAATCAGAAGAAAAAAATATATCATTCTAACCAAAAATATACAGGGTGTTCCATTTGAGAAATGCAAGTGTTTGTCATTGTGACAGTTGGCAGCTGTCATTTGCCCATTTTGACATTCGCAAAAGATAATAGACATAAAACCCTACAACTTCCATATTTAAAGTAAGTGGCAAATTCGCCAAATATACTGAAAAAATCCAAAGAAAATGATAGAATAGCATCCATCTTTGATCTTCGTGATTCGTTGGTAAATTGTAAAATATGTTAAAAAATATTATTTTTAACTTCCGAATTCCCCTTGTCAGGCGTCTGTCTTCCTATGCATGCATGCATAGACAAAGCAAATATTTTACTCTAATAACTTCATTCAGAAAAGCGGACACGGACGCCGAACCAACAACACTGACAACTCGGCAACAGTGGGCAATATAATCTAGCCAGCATCCACTCGGGCCAGAGCCGGCGTCCATCGAGGTCTCAAAAATTAGAATACGGACGAGACTTCTAGAGACGGTTAGGTTAGTCTATTATATTATTTGACTGTAGTTACAAGGGGCAATCAAAAAGTACGAGTGGCGGGTTTATAACCATATGAAAATAAAAAGCTGGTGATACATAACAACGTGTCTGACATTGCGCCTATCACTAAAGAATCTAGGGCCCCACAGACTGCGTTTTTGTTTGACGGTTTTGTCCAACGAGCAAATCTGGTCGAGCAAAAACGACTCATCGCAGTTGCACACAGACCTCGGTTTAGCCAAGATCAGTCATGTTTGAAAGTTTTTAATTTTGATAATATAAAATTCTGTAGCTATGCACCACACCACACAAACCCGTCGTTTTCAAAATTCGTTGCCCACACACTTCAGATTTGTTGGTATATCGAACATATCCGACGGACAAAATCAGGCGAAGCCAGATATTTGCATCGGTTTTGTATGCCAGCAAAAACGACAATAATTTTTCGTATATACACACACTTCGTGGGCCTTATTCTGTATTTATTTTTTGTAGACCGAATCTCTTGGTTCGGAACACTATCGATCGGCACAGTTATCGAACATTCGGTTCGATAGCGTACTTTGCAATTCAGTATGGCTATTCGGTAACCATTTCGTTCGGTTTGATAGGAATCGAAGGGCAACCGGAAAAATTTCCGAACGCCATGCAATGTTGTCGAATTGCTATGCTCCCGACCAATCAGAGTGCGTGTATTCGTGCTTGACAGTTGACAAAATGAAAGTTGTCAGGCTATTTTTTGATTTTGGTTGACAGTTAAATGAAAGTTTGTGTTGTTTACATTTTTCAATTTTGTTCTACTTTTGGCCGGTTCCGCCAGTAATGCGAATACACCAAGCGTCACGGCTATAGCCAAAGCTGGAGAGAAGAGCTTGCTACTCTTGGCTATATACACACGCATCTGCTGCTACACAAGATGGATTGTTTTAGTAGAGCAAAAACGTTCGGAGGTACGCTACAATACTCCCCCAATCGGATCTCTGAGGGTTTCTGCCATAGAGAAATATAATAAACCAAGGTAAGAGTACCTGATTGATAACATGAAAGTTTGTATAGCGCTGACGTCACAGCGACGGTGGCGTCAATAGTGGCAGCCGGAACAAATACTGAAATGGCGGGAATTTTGAAATTTGACTTGAGTTCATTGCACAAAAAACTTACTTATGTTGTTCCACATCTTTGTTTCTCAAATCCGAATGAGAAAAATGATGTGGTACTTCATAAAGTTTTGTGCCATTTTTTGATGTAGATTAAAAAAAGAGGCAAAATAAACACTAAATTGTACTAGAAAAAATATATATTATAGCTAGATAGGTCAAATACCTAAAGAGTTTACAAACACAGTTATTACATCCCTTATACATGCTTTAATGTATGTACAAGCTAAGCTGGCCAAGGCCTAACATCTACATTTTATCTCTTCTGACTGAGGTCTCCTAAAGCAGTAAAAAAATATGCCGTATATCACAAAACTAACATGTATACTTACTGGTTCAGTTTATCCTAGTTGTACATAATATTATAGGTACGCGATACCGAGTGCCTTAATAAAAATGACAATTTCTTCTTCTTGTTCTTTAGATTTTGTGAGTTCGAGTCTTCTGACGA